AGTGAATCTTATGTTACAATGTATAGAGTATTTTATAATACATTTTTTTGGAGGGGAGACAGAGTTTTACTTTGTCACCCTTAGTAGGGTGCCGTGGCGTTACAGCTCACAGCAACCTCAAACTCTTGGGCTCAAGCGATTTTCTTGCCTCAGCCTCCCAAGTAGCTGGGACTACAGGCACCTACCACAACACCTGGCTATTTTTAGAGACTCGGTCTCACTCTGGCTTAGGCTGGTCTCCAATCCATGAGCTCAATCCACCCATTTGGGCCTCCTAGAGTGCTAGGATTACAGGCGTGAGCCACTGCACCTGGCCTAAATATTTTTAAGCTTAAGAAGTTAAGGTATAACAAGTTTTCAGTAAAAATTTGTTGTTCACATGTGGTGTGATGATAGAGGAATGAAACTGATTTTTACCAGCCACTCAGGAAGTACATGTTATTTCTTTTAGCTCAGTAAATGCACAGAAACCATGTTAGGGTTAAGGTCAACCTGGAGGAAAATTTCAAATGCATGTGTAACATTTTATTGATGACTTGGGTGAGGATCTCACAGACAAGGAAGGGATGATAGAGTCAGGTACCCAAAATACGTCAAAGGACTAGATTGATGTGTCTACTATAAGGCATCTGGGTCTAAAAAAATTTATTTCCCATCTAAAGGATGTGAAAAATGTGACGTGGGAGCAATACATTTGAACAAAGCTTCCAGGCCTGGCTGATAGTATTGTTTCAAATCTTTCTTGTCAGTATTGTATGTCCAATGACATTCTAGAGACTAATTCAGTTTCCCAGAAAGGAAAACTGATCTTTCCCCTCATCCAGGGATGAATTCCTATGTCCCCCGCCCCTTAAAGTTCTATTCAGGTCTTGTAACACACACTGTCCAGTGGGCTTCTTCCTCATCTCAGTTACACTTGTTTTCTCCTTCTATATCATTTGCAACTTTATTGTAACAGTTCAGTTTTCTTTTTGCAATAAACTGAACATATTTAAAGTATACAATTTCATCAGTTTCGTCACAGTTATATATCCAATGAGACTATCACAACAATCAAGAAGAATAGTACTCCCATAGTTTCTTCATACTCCTCTGGAATCCCTTCCTTCCTCTACCCCTATTCCCAGGCAACCACTGTTACTATGGATTAGTTTGCATTTTCTGAAAGTTTATATAAATAGAATCATATAGTATGATTCTATATGTATTATATAGTATGTTTTTTTTTTTTTGCCTAGTTTCTGTCACTCAGCATAGTAATTTTGAATGTCATTCATACCGTTGCATACATCAATAGTTTGTTCCTTTTTATTGTTGAATGGCATTCCACTGTATAGATGTACCAGAATTTGTATTTATCCACTGATGAAACTTATAAAAAAGTTTTAGTCATTCTAATAGGTGTGTGACCACTGAGGTTTTAATTTTATTACTGCATTTAGTTCTTTTTCAAATCTGCTATGTAATTTAAAAAATTTTCTGCTGTCTGAAGATATTTTATAAGCTTATTGTTTATTTTTAAAAAATCTGGTGAGCCAGTTTAAAAATCTTTGTCCTTTAATTGCAATCTATGTAGTGGGATGGGTTTGTTTCGGGTATCTGTAATTTCTGTTGAGTCTCATTTGTTTTGTTCCCCTGGTGATTTTTTTTTTTTTTTTGCAGTTTTTAGCCGGGGCTGGGTTTGAACCCACCACCTATGGCATATGGGGCCAGTGCCCTACTCCCTTGAGCCACAGGTGCCGCTCTCCCCTGGTGATTTTGACTCGTTAGTCACTGCTCTGGACAATGCTTATGTAGGGGCTTAGGATGAAGATATATGGGTTAGGATAAAAGTGTTCTCCTTTGGAGACTTTTTGTTTTGTAAACTAAAAATAAAATCCTAAGCTCTCTGCTAACCGAGTAGACTCCTCTCAACCAAGGAGACCCCAGAAATACCTTAAAACTGAGTTCCCAGCCAAGACAGAATAGGCATGATAAAGCAATTGCATACATATAATTTCCCTTTATAAATATTCATGGCTGGGCATGGTGGCTCACACCTGTAATCCTAGCACTCTGGGAGGCTGAAGCCGGTGGATCACATGAGTTCAGGAGTTCGAGACCAGCCTGAGCTACAGCTAAAAATAGTCAGGCGTTGTGGCAGGTGCCTGTAGTCTCAGCTACTCAAGAGGCTAAGGCAAGAGGATTGCTTGAGCCCAAGAGTTTGGAGTTGCCATGAGTTATGACACCATTGCACTCTACCAAGGGGACAAAGTGAGACTGTTTCAAAAAAAAGAAAAAAAAGAAATATTCAGAAATATTCATGACTCTTCCTATAGTCTGTTGAATATGTATATTTGACCACCTTGCTCAATATAAAATCTTGTTCCTTTTTCTCTCTCTTTGAAGCATGTGTGTCTGGCTTCTGGCCACAGGTCTGATTCCCAACTTGCGGGAATGGCTGCCCAACAGGTTGCTACTGCTTATGAGAAATAAAGCTCTCCTTTCTCTAAAGTATAAACCTTGTTAATATTTTTTAATTAACATTTTATACCAGATATCTGGAATTATTAGTAAAGAAAGGGAAAACTTCCAATCAAGTGTATGGCTTGAGTTTCTGTGGCTGCCTAAAGCTATGTGTACCTGTGTGCAAATCCATTCCAGGTAGACTTTGTGGCCACAATTTCTTCAGGGGAAGTCTGTTCTCCCTTTACTCTCATCTTTTGCTTTGCTCGGTGACAAAGCAGCTTTCTCTCTAGTTCTCTGGTGTTGAAGGGGAGGAAGGGCATGTTTATTGGCTTCCTCTTAACTTTGAGCATCTCCTTTTATCTCCTAACAATGAAGAGGGTTTCCTAACAGGTTGTCCAAATTGTACAGGCCTTTAGATTTTAACTTTTGGTCCTCTGGCACAGAAGTGTTCAGTAACAGCAATAGCACTCTTTGCAAAATGGACCAATTTGGTACTATAATATTCTGTTTATCATTCTGATCAAAAGTTTTCATGTAAAAATTGGTCACTGAGCTTCTCGCTATCTTTTCAGCTATTCAGTGCTTTCAAGGTCATTTTAAAGCCCATATCTTCTGCAGCACTTTTCAGTTTTTTCAGGCAGAAGACTGAAAAATCCAAATAACCAAGCTTACCATTACAGGAAACAGGAAATAAATTTGCTTTTGGCACTGCCATTTCTCAGGATTCCTCCAAAGGACTCAGGAGGTTTTTTTTTTGACTAGGGAGAGGCAGTCTGGAATCTACATAATTATTTTCAATAAAAGCTCACATGGTAACATTCAAGACAACATTTTGTAAAATGTAAATATCAGTAACAGCATAATGACATCATCATTAAAAAGACTTGGAAATTGTTTTTCTCACTCATGCCTGTAATCCTAGCAGTCTGGGAGGCCAAGGAGGGTGGATTGCCTGAGCTCACAGGCTTAAGACCAGCCTGAGCAAGAGTGAGACCCCGTCTCTAAAATAGCCGGGTGTTGTGGCGGGTGCCTGTAGTCCCAGCTACTCAGAAGGCTGAGGCAAGAGAATCGCTTGAGCCCAAGAGTTTGAGGTTGCTGTGAGCTATGAC